TCTTCGGAGCGCGATATCAAATCGATGTCTTTGATTCGAAATGCCGAGACACCCGAGAATCCCTGTGTTCGTGTCGTGATCAGAGAAAGGAAGAGAGGGATTTCGTTCTTTAGGCAGAAAATTTAAGTCTTATTGTCTGCTATTGAATACAACATTACTGTAATTTTTTTTTCATTAAAATCAAGTTTTCTTTAAGTTTGGAGCTTTTCGAGCCTAATGTCTCGAAATGTCTCTCGTCCCCGGTTGGTTTCTTAATGTTTCGAAGAGTCAAAATTGTTGCCACTTAGTTTCAGAACGACAATGTCAAGCTGCAAGCTAAATAAGAAATGGAAAACTCCTTGTTAGTTTTTACATCCCTTAAACTCAATGCCGATGAAGTTGAATAGCATAGGACAGGCGGTGAGTTTTAGGACAACCATAAGTTAACACTAGAAACAGATTTGAACTGGGGTTGTCCATATAATCAAGAGATGTAACAACCCAAATTAGCTCGAAAACATTTTGTCGAATTTTGTTCAATGTATCCTCATCTTTCATAATTGTATTATATCATGCTGTCACTATATTATAAGCCTCACGAACGTCCATATTTGTATACCTCTAAATGCGAAAAGATCACCCCTCAAGCTGACATCTCGAATCAATCAACAATTGTTCATTGCGATTTTTATGCAACGTATCCCTCCTTTCTTTCCTAACATTTTCCTTGAGAGGAGCTTATTGTTTGCTCCTTTTAATGACTTTCCAATTTCTCTTACGTCAACGAAAACCTGGTATAATGGGAATGTTTTATGAAGGTTTCTAGCTTCTTTCAAGGGCCCTGCCCAGATTTGTCTTTAATAGCTCGAAACGTGATATAACAAATTGTTGGCTCTCTGAACTGCTATTCAGAACATCGCTGTCTGCACACAAGCACAGCCTCTGGAGAACAAAGACTTCCTCTATCTTGAAGTATGTGGGCGATGCGTTAATGCTATGAAGAATTCATTCTTTTATGGGTGTCGAGAATAGCAATATTCTCAGGTCAGGCTGAACTAGGAGCTTCTTTTTTTCTTTCTTCAGTTATTTTAAGAGAGATACTATACGGCTTTTTCCCTGTCTTAAAGAGATATAATTAAACACAATCATAATTATGTTAGACATAGAATACTATCGTTAATTTCTATGGTCAAGATTTTCCGTTTCAAGCGAATTATTTTCATCGCTAATTGTTCAATAAACGTGTGCGTTTTGTTTTGTATTTTAGGTGGGCTTCTCGTTTGTTTCGATATTCAGATGGTCATTACCTTATAACGGGCCACAATGACATCGTACTATTCTATTGTTTATACATTGTAAAACATGTGCTGCAAATGTAATGTGAAATTTGTTGCCGGCGTCTTTATTGATTTGTTTAAGTTCTATGTCGGTACAATATGTAGAAAAAAGGAGTTCTATTCCTGAGTAGGGGAAGTTTGTATTTTATGTTTGTCCATCTTTCTGCCAGTATATTATAATTATTATCTCTCTAAAACCCGAATGGCATGGTACTGGCAGATTGGGTTGAAGTAACCCGTCTCCAAAATGAACAAAATAAAAAAAGAAACTACGATATATTAGGTCGTGTAAAGTATTGTTAAGTGACAATTTTGAATAGAAACTGTAAACTGGGGGGGGGGGGGGGGATAAATATGGTATGATATTATTGTACGGGAATGGATTATCCAAACACAGACTAGACCACTGATATTTATCATTGCAATTGAGAAGGAATGTTTATTTGTTTAACGTTTACGTGCATAGAAATAGAACAGTGAAATGAAATAAAACATACAAGTGTTAAAACGCTTTTCATGCATAGCTGGCTGTGTTACTACCATCCCGCCCCATCCCCACCCTCTCTCTCT